AAAAAAAAAAAAAAAAAAAAAAAAAAAAAGACAAGACAAGCAAAGTATTTTCAGAGACTAAGTCAATTCCAGATCCCACCTGTAGTATTTTGTTTTGTTTTGTTTTTTGAGACAGGTTTCATTTCAGGCTGGCCTCAAACTCCTGGCAATTCTTCCTCTGCCTCCTGGGTGCTGGTATTTCAGGTGTGAGCAATAACGCCCTATACCCTTAGTATTTTTGAGACCTGCTTTGTAAACACCTTACGTGACAAGCGACACAATGTTATGGTTCAAAATCACTCAAAAGTGGGCTGGGGGTTTAGCTCAGCGGCACAGCGCCTGGCTGGCAAGCGCAAGGTCATAAGTTTACCCGGCGGGGGGGGGGCGGGGAGGGAAACAAACAAACAAAAAACAAACCCCAAGAAACAAAAAAACCAAAATCACTCAAAAGTGATGTATTGCTAGGCATGAGCTTCATATCCAGAATTCTAGCACTCTGGAAGCCTGAGCAGGAGGACTGCAAGTTAGAACCCAGCCTGGTCAACTAAGCAATCTAGGAAAGACACTGCCTCAAAATAAAAAAATTTTAAAAAGGGCTAGAAATGTTGCTTAGTGTAAAGACCCTGGTTTCAATTCCTAGTACACACCATCACAAAAACAAACAGACCCAAAGTACCAACGTCTAATTTGTTAACTTGTTAAAATCTGGCTGTAAAATGTAACAAAGTTGGATATTTCCCTAGAGTAAGGAACAGAGCTTCAGGGAGTATTTTTTTCTTCAATCAGATTTTATTGGTACATTTTAGATGTACATAATGATCACATTTACCATAGAGAATTTGTACCTGTACATGATGTAACTTTTCTCCCATTCCCCTACTCTCCCTTCAACCCCTTCCTCCTCTCCCCATTTATAAAAGTGTTTTTTTTGTTGTTGTTCTCTTTGAGACAGGGTCTCACTACCCAGTTCAGGCTGGCCTTGACAGCTCACTTTGTAGCCCAGGCTGGTCTCGAACTCACAACAATCCTTCTGCCTCAGCCTCCTGAGTGCTAAGATTGCAGGTGTGAGCCACCACACTGGGCTATAAAAATTTTGTTTCCATTTTTTCATTCTTTTTCTCCTTTTCCCCTCATTTGAACATTTTTCTTCCTATTTCACAACACCTAACACACATTTTGGTCTGTATTTACACTTCCCGTTTCTCACATCAGAGAAACAATGCAGTATGTACACGTGTCTGGTTTATTTTTATTTGCATCCATCTACCTAGGAATGTCTCAAGCTTATCTTTCTTTATAGCAGAGCAGTGCTCCATTTTATTAAAAAAGACACAAGCTGGGCGTGGTGGTGCATGCCTGTAATCCCAGCACTTGGGAGGCTGAGGCAGGAGGATGGTTGTGAGTTCGAGACCAGCCTGAGCTACAAAGTGAGCTCAAGGCCAGCTGGAACTGCATACTGAGACCATGTTTCAAAAAAAAAAAAAAAAAAAAAACCCACAAAAAAACCAACCTAAAACCACAGCTTCTTTTATCCATTCCCTTGGTTGATGGGCATTTGGGCTGTTTCCAAGATTTGGCTATTATAAACTGTGCTGTTATAAACATGGGAGTGCTGATGATTTTTTTTTTAACTTGCACTAAGCAATGTCCTCACCAACTTTTTATTTTGAACACGGGGTCTTGCTAAGTCATTAAATTACCCAGGCTGCATTGAACTTTCACTCCTCCTTCCTCAACTTTGAGAGTACTGGGACTACAGGCATCAGTCACCAAGCCCAGCTTTTTAAGCAATGTCTATAGAGGGTCCAATAATATGATATAAGTGGGTTTGATGAAGTTCTGAAAAACAAGGAAGTGTTTCTAGAATATTTTCCTGCAGGCTTTTTTTTTTTTTAAAGACAGTGTCTCATTATATAGTTTAGGCTGGCATGAACTACGTAGCCTAGGTTGACCTTGAACTCGTAGTGATCTTGCCTCAGCCTCTGGAGTGCTGGGATCACAAGTACGTGCCAGCATGCAGTTGTTTTTTTTTACTGGTACAAGACATTTTATTTTCAGGCAGGGTCTTGCTTAGTTGCCCAGGCTGGGCTTGAACCTCTACCTCAGGCATGTGCCACCACACTTGGCTTAATCAATGAGTACTGTAACTGAAAAGAATGAAATATATTTAACAGAACTAACGCTAGAAATTTGAAGCCACTGCATTTACCACAAGGGGGCAATGTTTAAACATAAGCAAGCTGAAGCATCTGTGCCTTGGCAGACTGCTCTATTTCCTTTTTTAATACCACCCTGGGATGGCAGCAGCCTGGATGAGAAACGGGCCAGCCGCTTCTGCCTCCTCTCTGCTTCTCCTGCAGGGGTTGGCCCCAACTCTTCTGAATACTGGCAGCATAGCTGTCAAGGGACAAAGAGCAGAGGAAGCAGGCAGTGGGAGAGCAAGCCGAGCAGCTGGTCTTCCTCATGATGAGAGTAAATAGCCGGGAGGGCCTGCTGCGAGGGGTGTGGGAGCCTTGACCTGGAGGTTCTGAACACACAGGGGTGTCTGAACCACCTCAGCCTCGTTAAGATGGGTCTGATGGGCTTCTGCCCCAACTTCCGACTTGGAACACTTAAAGTAGGGTCCCACAATTCGGAGATGCTGCAGACCTGAGGGCACTGTGAGAACAAATGCTACAGGGTGTTTCTGGAACTGTGCCCTTCTTTTTCTCAACATGCCCCTATTTTATCTTTCCTACCACTTATCTACTGCTTCTCCACTGTCCCCCACTTAGTCTCCATTAGGAAAGCAAAAGGAAAGACAGAAAATAGAGATAAACTTGTTCACCAAGTTTGTTTTTGAGACAAGGTCTCAATATGGTCCAGGCTGGCCTCAGCTTGATCATTCTACCTCAGCCTTCCAAATACCACTAAGCTGGTCCCACCACACCTGGTTTAGATTTGTCTTAAGGATTCCTCTGGGGAAAAATTCCAGCACTCTACTCTGCAGCTTAGGTATTTCATTTTATTGAGACAGGGTCTCACTACGCCGTTCAGGCTGCCCTTGAACTCATGGTTATTCTCTCACCTCAACGCCCCCAGTGCTGGAATTACAAGCAGGAGCCACCATGCCCAGAGGGATTAGATATTTTAGAAGCAGAATGTATTCCAAATGCACATACTGGCCGGGGATGTAGCTCAGCGGCACAAGCGCCTGCCTGGCAAGCACAAGGCCAAGTTTGATCCCAGTACCAAAACAGAAGCACGAAACAAATATACCATATTTCCTCTCCTCTTTACTCACATTCTGGTGGGGAGGGTAGTTCAGTAAAGAGTAATATGCTTAGCAGGGCATGGTGACACATAGCTATAGTCCCAGCATTGTGGGAGACTGAGGCAATAGGATCACAAATTTGAACCCACCCTGGGCAATTTATCAACTTACTGAGACTCTGTCTCAAAATAAAAAATAAAAGGGGCTGGGCATGTAGCTCAGTGCAAAGGCCCTTGGTTAAATTTCCAGTACCCACCACCAAAAAAAAAGTAACCTTCTATTCTAATGAGATTTTGCTTTGAAGCCAGGTGTGGTGGTGCACACCTAAAATCTCATCATTTGAGAGGCTGAGGCAAGAGGATCACCATGCCTTGCAGGCCAGCCTGGATATACTCTACTACATTTTGCAAAATTTCCTCACCTTCCCCATTTCAAAAACATTTTTATTATATCCTAAATCAGTGATGGTGAACTATGGCATTTGTGTTTGTATCACTGAAAATTCTATAAGGTTTGCCATCACTGCTCTGAAGTTACCATTTTAAGTATTTCAGTGTACAGTTCAGTGGCATTAAGTACATTCACTTTTTTCTGCAACCATCATCACCATCCAACTTCAGAGCTTTTTCATCTCAGCAAACTGAAACTCTGACCCAGGCTGCCTTTTCCCCCAGGGCCTGGCAACTACCACTTTACTCCTTACTGCTTGTGGACTCAGTTTCTCTTTAACAAAAGAGGGGGTTTGCTGCTCACTAATGGGATGGTTCTATATATGCAGACCTTCTTGCATATATATGACTGAGTTTATTATAGAGAAAGGTAACAAAGTGGGTTTCAAGAAAGAAGCGGTGGAGACACAAAACTGGATAACTGGATGTGGGCCTCCTATCCACAGGCTTCAGCAGCCCTGCCATGGATCCGCCCGATTTTTCTGCATCAAGAAGTTGATCTTTCGAGCCATTTCCATGTTGTAGATCCGCCGGCAGGTTTCATAGCTTTTCCGCTGTCGGCGACGGCAGGGTTTCTCATAGTACCTTCGTCGCTTAATGTCCTCAATGAGCCCGTCCATGGTGAGGATTCTGTATAAACACAGGCAATGAGGTTAGAGGTGTGGGCTCATTACTATTTTTCCAGTTTCACAGATGGTCAGCAATCAACTGACCAAAACAACTGTTGTTTATAAAAATTACAGTGGGAAATGGTGACAATATAAACTGCCTACAGAGGCGCCAATAAGAATTTTCAGGGAAACTGAAAAGCAATTACAAAGTTCTTGTTCTTGGAGAATTTATAGTAAGAGTCACGTTCTCCAATTTGTTTCTACCATAGCATACTTGAGGAATATGCTGCACCCTACAGGAACACTAGCTCTCTATGGCAGTGATTGCCAATCGGGGCACTTCAGAAACGCTAAATGAATGAGGCAAGCCATCTGCAATTTTAAAAAAATCATTCAGGGTGATTCCTACGTGGTCATTAATGGTGAATGCAGTTCCGCCCTTATTATGCCTAAGAACTGACACCTGAGTCCTTGAGAAGGCTCAAGGAAAGGTGACCCTCACACACCAGTGAAACAAACAGGAGCATTAAAAAGTAACAGGCTCACCCATCAGTTCTCCATGTATCATGCTCTGATCACACCGATCTGCTGACCACTCCCTGGACACACTGAGGCTGTCTTCTCACCCCCAGCTGCCAACATTCTGAGGGAAATTTTCTCAGTTTTGATGACAAGCCCAGATGTCATCTCTCCACAAAGTTTTCCCTTCTCCTTCTCTCTCCCCTCTTCTCTGTGTATGTGTGCACTGAACCAAGAGCCTCCTACATGGTCAACATGTGTCCTACTTGCCCCTCATCTTCTTAAGGAAAATAATTTATTTTATTGTATACCTATTTGACAATTATCTCATTCTGCCATTCTGTAAGTTATTATACAGACATCTCCTTGAAGGCAGAAACCATGTTTTATTCATATCAGCCTTATATAGGTATCCATTAAATTGATCTCAATTTCTTTCCTGTTCACCCAATCCCTTGCAATAGCTATTATATTCAATTAAAAATTCTCCTAACTCAAACTTATCTCTTTCTTCTAGGACGTTGGGGCCAATTAACCCCTAGGCTCCTGAGAGTTCTGGCTCCCTCTACAATTTGTCTTCCCCTGGTAACGCCTCACCGACTGGCCCTAAGGACTGGTGGCACCTTCCATCGCCGGCCTCCATTCCCGGCTATGTTTACATGGCCCCATTCCTGCTCACCACGTTGTTATTACATGCAGAAACTAAATCACAAGCACAACTGGAGATAAGAGGATTGAGTCATAGCTATTTTAACAAGGCTCTTTTCCCCTTTTTTGGGATACTGGCTATTGAACTCAGGGTCCTGTGCATACTAGGCAAACACTCTACCACTGAGCTACATCCTAATTGCTAGAAGGGAACAAAGAACATAAAAATAAGAAAAACTACCAGCATCTTTTGCCTACTGGGAAACCCATTTACTGCTGCTGAGCTGCACCACAAAGTCCACGATAACAACAGATTGACTATGAACTGGAAAAAAACTTGGCTTTAGGTAAATTACAAGTGTGAATAGACATTGGAACCATTATCCTATAGGGTCCCGCTGTCTGATATTGGGAATGAGGGGCCAGGGTGCAGCAGTATACAGCTGTAATCCCAGCTACTCAGGAGGTTGACTGAGGCAGAAGGATCACAAGTTTGAGGCCAGTGTAAGCAACTGTGCAAGACCCTGACTCAAAACATAAAAAGGGTTGGGCATGGTGGCACACACCTGTAATCCCAGCACTTGGGAGGATCACTGCGAGTTTGAGGCCAGCCTGGGCTACCAGTCACATTCTGAAACGCTGTCTCAAAAAAAAGGGGCTGGGGCTGCGACTGGGGTTGGGAATGTAGCTTAGTGGTGGCGCACTTACCTAGCATATTTGAGGCCTAGGTCCAATGCCTAATATCTAAAAAAAAACCCAAAAAAACCCAGAAAAAAACAAAGAATGAGATAGTTTCATTGTACTGTGCTTGCCTAACATATACAAAGCCCTGGGTTTGATCCCCATACTGGGGAAAAAAAAAAGAAGAGTATTTCTTTGGAGACTCTGGGGTCCCCTCATACAAATAGTGCCTGATAGGCCTTTCCACTGGGCTACTACATATGACCAGGTATGCCTGAGCCTCAGTTAAATAACGATTTGTAGTTGGGCATGATGACACGCATCTGCCTCGGCTATAACATGAGTTCAAGGCCAGCCTGTACTATACAGTCAGACCCTGTCTCAAAACAAAACAAAACAATGATTTATAGCCCAGGCATGGTGGCACACTCTAATCTTAGCACTCTGGGAAGCTGAGGAAGAAGGATTATGAGTGTTTTTTGCTTTTTGAGACAAGATCTCACTATGTAGTTCAGACTGGCCTTGAACTCACTATATAGACGAGGCTGACTTCCTCGAACTCATGGCAATCCTCCTGCTTCAGCCTCCCAAGTGCTGGAATCACAGATGTGAGCCACCATGCCTGGCAGGATTACAAATTTGAGCCTAGCCGGAATAAATGAGTGTTTTTGACACTGTTTCAAAAAACAAAAAGGCTGGGGATGTGGCTAAAGACTAAAGACTAGACACAGATGGTCAGCAATCAACTGACCAAAAGACTAAAGACTCTCAACTAAAGACTCTCGACTCAGTCCCCAATATTGAAAGAAAAAAGAAAAAAAAAAGATTGGTAGGCTAATAGAGCCATTTTTATATGAATAAGTTTGTTGAGATTTTGGTGGCCAGGAGAGAAGAGCCAAGAGAATTGCTGCAAACTCCCAGGTGCAAGAGAAGCAAGTCAGTGAAGGTTCTGTTGGAGACACACCCATGCCCAGATGGCACATGGATTTAACACTAATGTTTTACAATGGAGAAGTGGAGCACCAAAGTTGGGAAAGGTCCATCCTAGCCATAAAGAGTAGACTTTTCCCTGTGAAAAGTACCCATAAATACTGTAATCCCTTCGTTTGGATTCTGACTGTGAACCTCTTGCCATTCTGGTTCAACATGATTCTGTTATGCACAATGGGAGCCTGTTCAAAGAGTACTGGCAGCTGCACCCATCTTCAGAGACTGCCTCAACAGTCAGGCCAGCCCCTGGGATTGTTTTTAAATTTGCTGGGAGACTGCAAGGGACACTTCCAAGGTGACTCTAGAGACACTGTAGACTCCTTATTTTCAGTCCAATCTTAGCTTAAAGGGAGACTAGTATTTCCAACTGCCTCAAACCCTACATAACACCGAATTACAGGGGCTGGGGATTTAGCTCAGAGGCACAGCGCCTGCCTGGCAAGTGCAAGGTCGTGAGTTCGATTCCCGGTACCGGAAAAAAAAACAAGAAACAACAACAACACTAAATTAGAGCTGAGAGCACTCAGGTGGCTGAGGCAGGAGAGGAGGGTCACCACGAGTTCAAGGCCAGCCTGCAGTACATAGTGAGACCCTGTCTCAAAAACAAAAACAAAACTGGACAAAATTGAATTTGTCTCCTCCCCAAACTTATTCAAAATTATAATACAGCATGACAAGTACAAAGATAAGGGAATCACTGCTATAGAAGTACACAGGAGGCCAGGTGTGGTGGTATACGTCTGTAATCCCAGCACTTGGAAAGCTGAGGCAGGAAGACTGCTGTGAGTTTAAAGCCAGCCTAAGTTATATAGTGAATTCAAGGGTTCAAGGCCAACCTGAACTACACAGCAAGACCCTGTCACAACCAAAAAAAGAGACACAGACAGAACTGTTTTTGCTTATGTTTCCTAGTTGATTCTAATATGCAGAAAATTTGGGGACAACTAGTCTAGGTGCAAATAACTTGTCCTATAAAGCCTATGCTCTAGTCATGATGTTACTTTTTATATTGTTCATGATGCTCCTTTGCTTGGAATATCATTCCTTTCTTTTTCTGCTTGATATAACCTATTTGTTCCTTGAAGATCCAAATCAACTGTTACGTCTGTAAACTGCTCTAAGTGAAATCAATTACTCTTCCAAAAGCACAATGATTCTCAAAATTTAGCACGCAGCAGCCACCTGGAAAGCTTGTTAAGATGCTGTGCAGGGCAACACACTTTGGATCCCTCCGTCTCTCAGGAGCTATTCCTATTCCCCATTCCCCCATTCCTATTCTCCAATAAATTTTCCTACTATTTTATTTATTTTATTTTATTTTGGTACTGGGAATTGAACTCAGGACCTTGCACTTGGCAGGCAGGCGCTTATGCCACTGAGCTATACCCCTCATGTTACTTTATTTTTTATTTTATATTGTATTTATTTCATTTCATCTCATTTTATTTTATTTTAGATTTTTGGAGACAGGGTCTTACTATGTAGTTCAGGCTGGCCTTGAACTCACAGCAGTCCTCCTGCCTCAGTCTCCTAAGTGCTGGGATTACAGGCATGTGTCACTATGCCCAGCTGAATTTTCCTACTTCAAAACAAAACAAAAACGACTGCTGTGCTACCTCCAGTTTGTTATTTTGTAGAGCTCAAGAATTTGCTTTTCTTTTTTCTTTTGGTGTTGGGGATTGAACCCAGAGCGTCAATCACGCTAAGCACACACCACCACTGAACTATACTCCCACTGTATTTATGTCAAACTCCTAGGTCATGTTGCCGCTGATGGTCCAGGACAAACCAATTCCTCAGCACACTGTCCATGCCTCTTAAAAGATCAGGTCCTGGCCAGGCGTGGTGGTGCACACCTGTAATCCCAGCACTTGGGGACTGAGGCAGGAGGATCGCTGAGAGTTCAAGACCAGCCTGGGCTACAAAGTGAGCTCAAGACCAGCCTGAACTGCACAGTGACACCCTGTCTCAAAAAGACAAAAAAAAAAATTAAAAAAATTAAAAAAAAATGTCTGTACTGGTTGTGTTTTCTAAGGTTTGAGAGCAATTCTTTACTCACTTTTGCATATATGATAATGCTTGGAAAAAAGCCACTTATCAGTATATGTAAAAAAATGAACCTCTAGATGATGGATAAATGTTCATTACAAAGGGATTAAGTGACCTTATAATAACAGAATT